CTTTAAAAAGAAAAGAAATTGAAGATACCAGTGTAAACTTGTGATTTTCAATATACAGAAACAAATGTAGAACTAAACACATACACATATTCCCTACCTCTTACCCAGGTGCAATACGAACTCAACAGCAACAACAACGTGTAGTATACAAATATTAGTCTTTCTTTCTTTCTCTTTCTTTCTTTCTTTCTTTTATTGGCAGAGACAGCATGCCTTTACCAGAGAGAGAAACAAAAAGAGAGAGAGGAAGGGAAAAAACATCCTCCAATGGAGCACGTTTACACGGCAATCTCTCCTCCCTTTCTCTATCTTGTCAGGGGTTTGGTCATGCAGCGCGCACACACGGTATGTTTTTCAAGCCACCATGACCAGAATTTGAACCGTACTCAGCCATGTGGTATCCAGTTCCCTTAACCACTAGGCCATGGGACCAGCCCCCAAATATTAGTTTCTAAATCTCATTTTCCTTGAGCTCCTTGGAGTAAAGGCTACCTCCAGGACTGGACAGGGAAAGAATAAACAATGCTTAGAAAATGATGGGAGCAGGACAAAAGGTCATTGGAGCCAGCCTAAAGGCCAAATTGGAAATGATTTGAACAGTAAAAATGGTGACCGTAATGGATTATCACTCTTTGGTGCTATGAATATATTCTAATATTACAAAATACATAAATACATAAATAACATGAATAAATTGAAAGATTAATGAGGAATGCGATACTTACATAGCCTCGAAATACCTCCCCAGAAAACATGAATTAGGAAGGGAGGGAGGGGGAGCTGACCAGGGAGGCCGGAAGACACCCTGCTCTCCGTGATCAGAGCGAACGTCCCGACTGCATGGAAGAAGCTCCTGAGGGCTGCAAAGATTAAGTAACTTGCCCAAGGTCACGTAGGGGGGAAAAGGCAGTACCAGTGTAGGCCTTTATCTGACCTCATGACACCCTACAAAATAAAGAGGATTATTCCTCATATGACGGATTGAGAAACCGAGGCTTGGGGAAGGTAAAGGAACAGTTCCGGGTCACGCCGAGACTGAGAAGCATAGACCCATCCCCAAGAACCGTCCTTCACGGTGATGGAGAAATGAAGCCAGTGCTGCGACTCCAAATCAGGAGCCTCTGGCTCATTGAACCCAGTGACGATAGGACAGCCCTCCAGGGTCACCGTCACTCAGGCTGCTGGTCTAGAACTGCACTGCGCAGTATGGAAGCCACAAGTCACTTGTGACTATTGAAGTTAATTAAAATGAAATAAACCTCAGTGTCCCCCACTTTCCGAGTGCCAAGCAGCCACCTGTGCTCACAGCTGCCAAAGTAGACGCCGCAGGCCATAGGCCATGTCATCGTCACAGAAATTCCTATTCCGTGCCCAATCTAGACAGTGTTTTGCAGAGATCCAAAGTTATTCTTTCTGAAGTGGGGCTGAGGGGCCTGGACAGTGACACAGCAGTGAAACAATGGCTTTCTGCAAGGCTGACACACTTGGGAAGGTTGTGGTTTCAAATCTGGAGACTTCCTTGGGACCAGCGGTTGGCATAATGGCTATGGCACTGGACTCCCATGTAGTCGACCGTGGTTCGCGTCCTGGACCCGGTGGCTTAAAACTCACGCCGGCCATGTATGCATGTGTGCCCAAGATCCCGAGAGGAGAATGGAGAAGGGATTGGGGTGTGCCCATCCTCTTTAGGGGGTGATTTCTCACTTTCTGTCTCTCTGTCTCTCTCTGTCTGGCTGGCAAGCACACACGCCCTATAGCAAAAACCACTCTCCCTCCAAAAAAAATCTGGAGACCTCCTTGGGTATGCTGAGTGCACTTGTGCCCGTGATCCGGGGCTGGCTAGGCTGGAGGCTGATCATGGCTTAAAGACCTTGTTTGGGGGTGCTGTTTCTCTATCTCTGTCTTTCTCTTACTCATAGAATAAATAAATAAATAAATAAATGGAATAAACTTTAAATAAAATTTTTAGGGCCAACCAGTGGCAAGGTACTTAAAGCAGCAGGATCAGGTTAAGGTGTTGGACACTTCCACATGGCTGACCACGGTTCGAGTCCCAGAACTGATGGCTTGCTTTCTCACTTTCCTTCTCTCTGTGTGTCTGTCTTTGGTCAATTCTCCTGGTGGTTTTTTTTTGTGAAAAAAAAAAAAAAAAAAAAAAAAAAAGAATCAATCAATAAAATTAAATAAATAATTCTTTAACAACAACAACGACGAAAGCAGCTGGCTTCTACATGGTCAACTGCATTATTAATAATTCCATGGCTATGCTCCTTGGCTGGTCTATCCAAGAAGGAGAATCCTAAAATCTTTTCCCCATTTTGGAACTCCCCTCAAAGAAGGGGGAAAAGGTCTCCCTGGTGTAGAGGTGACAAAAGGACGTTCAGCCTCAACACCCTCAAATATCCAGGAGTCCTCTGACCTACACCACGGAAGTGGCCAGAACAGGCTCCGCGGGCCAAGCTCTCAATCTGAAACCGTAACACACGGTCGGCAGCTCACACTCGTCAAAGCAGAACCGGCACAGGACACCATTAGACAGGCAAGGTGGGGCCAGACCGTGGCACGCTGTGAGGCTGACCCACATGGGAAGGTTCTGGGTTCAGGTCCAGGGACCTCCCTGAGTGGGACGGGCATATGCTTGCCCATGATCCAGGCTGGCTGAAGCTGGGTGTGAATCACAACATCGAGACCCTGTGGGGGTGCTGTCTGTTTCTCCCTCACACACAGAAGAAATAAAGAAATGTAACAAAGCAGGCACGACTTTACTCAAGGTCATTGCGACAAGACAGAGAGACCAGAACTCAGCCTGAACTTGACTCTTCTGAAACAAAGGAGGGTAGAATCCTTAAGCGCTAGAGTAGGGGAAGACCGTAAGTCATCTTTACCCGTAAAGGAAAAGGAAATATTCTCACATCTTTATGACAGGAGACAGTTTTACAGCTTGGAAAAAGACACTGGCCCAAGTTAGGTTCTCATGCATCTGTCACAGCTGGGAGATGGATGGTATGCCACCTCCTCCACTGGGTACATTTCAAAGATAGTTCCTCTGTTCTTTTTTTCTTTTTTCTTTTTTTTTTAGAGGTTTTTACCTTAGGTGCATGCACTTACCATAGAGAGAAAGACGGTGAGAGGGAAAGTGAGGAGTTTCCCCCCAGGGAGGATGGCCATGCCACAAGCTCTTCTTCTCGGTTCTCCTCCCTGGATATTGGGCATGCACGCACACACCCCTGACTGGCCATGTGGAAGTCCAGTGACACAACCACTATGCCATTTGCTGTCCCCAAGTTCCCTGGTTCTTTTTTTTTTTTTTTTTTGGGGGGGGAGAGATTTTCACTATAGGGCGCATGCGCTCGCCAGACAGAGAGAGAGACATTAGAGACAGAAAGCGAGAAATCACCCCCCAGGGGAGATGGTCACGCCGCAATCCCTTCTCCTCCATTCTCCTCTCGGCGGGATCTTGGGCACGCACGCACACGCACCCGGCGTGAGTTTTAAGCCACCGGGTCCAGGACACGAACCGCGGTCGACTACGTGGGAGTCCAGCGACATAGCCATTAACGCTAACTGCTGGTTCCCGTTCCCTGGTTCTTGAGAAAGACATTTCTTAGATTTTAAACTGGCAAGAGACTTTTTGTTTTAAAGAATTATTTTATTTAACTTTAGTTATTTATTGAATTATTTTTAATTTGAACAGAGAGGGACAGAGAGAGAGAGAAGGAAAGTGAAAATGCAAGCCACCAGGTCCGGGACTTGAACCGTGGTTGACCATGTGGGAGTCCAGTGCCCTTAACCACCACACTGCCTGTAGTGCTTGTGGGTCTGCAGGTTGGCTGCGGCCGCGGGTCTCTGTTCTGCAGGATGGGATTTGTTAAAGTCGTCAAGAATAAGGCCTACTTTAAAGATATCAAGTGGAATTTAGAAGACGACGAGAGGGTAAAACTGATTACTATGCTCGGAAACGCTTGGTGATCCAGGATAAAAATAAGTACCACACACTCAAATACAGGACGACAGTTCGTGTAACTAACAGAGATATCGTTCGACAGATTGCTCATGCCCGTGTAGAAGGGGGTATAACAGTCTGCGTGGCCTACGCACATGAACTACCAAAATACGATTTGAAGGCCGGCCTGGCAAATGATGCTGCTGCGTATTGCACTGGCCTGCTGCTGGCCCGCAGGCTTCTCAGTAGGTTTGGCAAAGACAAGATCTATGAGGGCCAAGTGGAAGTGACCGGAGATGAGTACAATGTAGAAAGCATTGATGGTCGGGACCAGCAGTTAGCGTAATGGCTATGTTGCTGGACTCCCACGTAGTCGACCGCAGTTCACGTCCCGGACCCGGTGGCTTAAAACTCACGCCGGGCACGTGTGCGTGCGTGCCCAAGAGCCCAAGAGGAGAATGGAGGAGAAGGGATTGCGGCGTGACCATCCCCCCTGGGGGGTGATTTCTCGCTTTCTGTCTCTCTGTCTCTCTCTGTCTGGCGAGCGCACGTGCCCTATAGCGAAAACCTCTCCAAAAAAAAAAAAAAAAAAAAAGCATTGATGGTCAACCTGGTGCCTTCATCTGCTATTTTGGATGCAGGCCTTGCCAGAACCACCACTGGCAGTAAAGTTTGGGGGGCTCTGAAGGGACCGGTGGATGGAGGCTTATCTATCCCTCCCTAACGATTCCCTGGTTATGATTCTGAAAGCAAGGAATTGAATACAGAAGTCCATCGGAAACACATCATGGGCCAGGACGTTGCAGACTACATGCGTTACCTAATGGAAGAAGATGAAGACACCTACAGTACATAAAGTACAGTACATAAAGAACAATGTAACTCCAGACACGATGGAGCGGATATAGAAGAAAGCTCACACTGCTATACGAGAAAAGCCAGTCTATGAAAAGAAACCCAAGAAAGAAGCTAAAAAGAAGAGGTGGAATCGTCCCAAGATGTCCCTTGCCCAGAAGAAATATCGGGTAGCCTAGAAGAAGGCAAGCCTCCTCAGAGCTCAGGAGCGGGCTGCTGAGAGCTAAACCAAACGATTTTCCATGACATTATTACAGATAAAGACAATCCGCTTAACAGCAAAGGGAAAAAAAAAGAAAAAAGAAAAGGGTGGTCAGGGGCCTCTGTGGCTAGACCATCTGGACTCAGTGTCAGGGTAAGAAGGAGGTCAGAGGTCTAGAGGCAGAAAGAAGCCTACCTGAACTGAAGCTGAGAGAAACATGGCTCATGTCCTATGAAGCTGGCCTGCCTGGGTTCCAATCCAGGCACCACTGTTTATCAGCAGGTGACCTGGGGCAAGTTTCTCAATCTCTCTGAGCCTCTTTTCCTCTCTTGTAAAATGCAGGTGATTACTGCCTACCTCACAGTTGTGTAGATTAAATATATTAACCCAAGTTCAGTATTTAAAACAGTGTCTGGCACGTAATCGATGTATTTCTCACTGTAGGTTAATTACTTCATGTTCTGAGCCTCGGTTCCCCCATTCATCCCATCTGAGGATAAATGTGGAGAATTAAAGGAGGCAAGGAATGCAAACACTAGCGTAGTCCTGGCATCTCATAAAGCTTTTTTCAGTCACTAACATTCCTATACCACTGTCTCTGTTGTACTAGAATGCATGACTTAGGATGCAGCGATACATGATTAGAGTCCGTGTTTGTATTCTCAACTTTGTTACTATTATTGCTATTTACTATTGTTTGGCTATTTTTAACTACCTCGTATTACTGCCCATTATGAATAATGATATTGGGGGCTGGCCAGTGGTGCAGCTTTAAAACGTAATGCTCTGAGGCCCAACCATGTGCAAAGGTCCTGGGTTTGCATCTGGAAGCTTCTTGAGTACACAGGGCATACAAATAGATCTGGGACTGGCTGAGGCTGAGAGTGGATCACAGCATGGAGACCCCGTTGGGGTGATATCTCTCTCTCTCTCTCTCTCATAGATGAAATACATAAACTTTAAAATAAATCAAGGGTTAGCATCTTAAAAAATCATATTGTAATAATATCAGCACTGTTACTATTACCTCGTTATCCCCCACACCTGATCCCCCTGGAATCAAGTAGTCCCCAAACCTACCGAGACCTCTCCTTTCCAACTCAGTCTTTCCACTCTGGGCCCTGAAGAGTCAGGCCTTCATCTTGTTGGGAAGAGATGGAGGTAGGGCTTGAACTCCAGGTTCCCAACATGCAGCAAAGACTGACAGCAGCACCCTTGAGCCCTTTGGACAACTGGAATGCTGTGAGCCCACTGATACTTTATAAACCAGATGGGTGGCAAGGTGGTGGGGTCTAGGGAAGGTGCACAGAGCCCTTAGACAAAGCTCTCCTCTGCCCCCCTTGCATTGCTGAAAGCCCCACTCACCCCTCCGTGCCGCTTAATGGTTTCCCCCAGTCTCCCCCTCCCTACTAGACTCTAAGAGAGCGAAGAAATTCAAATCCCAAATCCCCCCAGAGCTGTGGTTATTTTGGGAAATAGAGAAGGGATTGCAGCATGCCCATCCCCTTAGGGGTGATTTCTCTCTCTCTCTCTTTCTCCTCTCTCCTCTCTCCTCTCTCCTCTTCCCACCCCTATAGCAAATTAAAAAAACAAAGGTTATTGTGAGAAATAAGGTGGAAACAACCTCTTTAAAGCACTGTACAAAGTAATTAAATCTTTATTGAGGCCCTTATGTGCCAGAAACTGACTTGAGACACGGTCCCTGCCCTTGAGGGGCTCACAGTCTAGTAAGCAAGACGGAAGAGGCGCTGAGTCCCTCAGCAGGAGGGGCGGGGCCGCGCGCTCGGGGGCGGGGCCAGCGCCCGCCCCGCCCCGCCCCCACAGGCCGCCGTGGGTCCCCCGCCCTCCGCCCC